AGTTAAACCACTTGGGGATCAGCTTATACCTTTTGAAGCTTGCTTTATAAGCTTTTTTAGGGTCAGATTAGCCCTAGTACTACAGCACTATTTTTTTTTCTGAGATTTCTACCAAATATCCTGCATATTCAATAAGGGTTTTCCACTCTGCTGGTGAAATTTGAAAATCTTCCACATCTATGCGAGCTCTGGAAATTGTTCAGCTTATAGTATTTCTGGTATTTCTTTGCCAAGTTTTGGGGAATTTTACCCCAGGCATTTATGACTTAGTATTCTTCAGTAGATTCAAAAGGATACCTGTGTAGGTTTCTTGAGCTTTTTCCAGAACTACTTCTCCAGTTGTCTGTCTTGCAAATTGCAGCATCTTAGCCTCCATGAACTCTGATCTTGGTGGTGTTTTTTTTTTTTTTTTTTCCCCCCTCAGTAAGACTGCTGGGGCCTGCTTAGGTTATTTATTCCTTCTCTCTTCACTGTGGTCCAGAAAGTGCCTCCAGGCAGAAAGCCAAGGTAACCTGTATCCCATTATCGTTTGTTTTCCTTCTTTCAGTGATCAAACTTCCCTATTAATTTCCCAGTGTCTGAAAACAATTGCCTTATGTATTTTGTTCAGTTTTCTGTTTGTTTTTAATAGAAGGAGAGTAAGGTTTTAGTAAGTCTATCATAAATGGAAGCAGAATTCCAGTAACTTTTTTTATATGCTACAAAAATAAGAAATTCTCCCCATCAAGATGTTTGTCAAGCAGGTCAGAGATGAAATACATTTGACTTTATTTTTATGGTTTATGTGTTTTAAAAAATTAAATATATATGTTTTATTTATGATATTTAAGGTACAAAATTATGCTATGTTAGAAAACAGGTATAAACATATGAACATCATTTATATTTATAATTATTTAATGATTTCACAGTCTTCCCTTTTTTATTTTGAATTATATATACTTTAAAATGTATTATCTGATTACTGTACTCTGTAATAAACATAGTGCTATTTATCATGTGGATTATTTTAAATTGAAGATAGCTCAGTTCTTTACTCGCTCTACACCTAACCTCTAATCCCTCAATCAGGGAACTGTAGGCAATTTTCTTCCTTTCCCCTTCCTTTCTTCTTTCCTTTTTTAATATAGCACTAGGCTATTTCTATTGATTTATTAAGAATAATACATGTTTTCTGTAGATGAATTGTATTTTTTAAGAAAAAATGAAACACTCTAGTCAAATTGGTTATAGTAAGATACACCCACATTCCACATAACATCATTTATTTGAATAAAAGACTTGGTTCTATCTACCTTAATCCAAATGGGATTATGTAAAGTTGTATATCATGCAGGAAATACTTTATATGTACTCCTGAAGAACTGCACCATGACTTATTATGCCACAAATAAAGAGTAAAACTGGGACTTGAAATTTAGTAATAATAAGAACACTGAAATTTATGTACCCAAAAATCTAACTATATTTGAAAATGGTATGGCTTTATCTATGCACATACTCCTCAGACCCACTAGTGGCCTTCTTTCAGCCTGAAAAAAATAAAACAACAACGAATGTGATAAAAGATTGTATATACACTAATTACAACTATGTGGTTGTCAGATTGAGCTTTCCAAGCATCCCTGAGTTTAATCTTTATTCTAAAAAAAAATTTGAAGCTAAGTTGTAGAAAACAAGGCACGCAACCTTCTATCTCATAGCAATATAATTTAAGGAAACTAAAAAGAAAATATTAAATGCAAATAGTAAATATCTAATGCATATAGATTTTTATACTTATATGCATTTTTAAAAGCTGCTATTTGCAAAGACAGTTTTTGTACTGCTGTGTACAGCAGTACAAAATCCACACAAGTGGTGTGGGTTACTAAGTGGTGAACTGGCTAAAGTGCATTTTTAAAACTCTTTCTTAAAAATTCTAAGTTTCAAAATACAAGTTCTATTTTATTAAAAAGATATTTTGCTATATATGTGTTTAACTAAGATGAATTTTTCCTTGTTTGATACTTATGCCACTAAAGCTGATGACCCCTATAAAGTGTTTACTAGTAGTTGTAATCACAAAATGGTTGGAACTGTGTTCTGTGTTCAGTCTCTCTGGAATGCATGTTTCTATTCTTTTCTAGGAGGTTCAACTTCCATTTCTTTCGAAGTACCATGCTACTTCTGTGTTTGAAGCCTAGGCTTGAAATGAATTTGTAGAATGTCTCAATAGTTATTGAACTGTAATTTGCTTATACAAATGCTAGTAAAATAAAAACACTAAAAATATGAAAAGTACATTTTATATAAAGTAGACAATAAACTTGGTGAATTTATTTAAATTTCATTAATAGGGATTTATCTAAGCACATTTTATTATCATGTTGACATTTAAAAATCAACTATTAGGATCTATTTTCAACTTTCTATGCAATCCAAGGATGATGTTCTTTTTGAAGCTTTAGAAATAAATCATGCTTAATATCCATGATATTTTCCTCATAAATACCCTCTACAAACTAGGCATTGAAAGAACATATTCAAAATATTAAAAACAATTTATTGCAAACCCACAGCCAATATCATTAATGAGAAAAACTATGAGCATTCCCCTTGAGCAGAAGCAACACAAGGATGCCCACTCTCACCACTCCTAATCAACATAGCACTGGAAGTCCTAGCTAGAACCAGCAGGCAAGAGAAAGAAATAAAAGGCCTCCAAATAGGAAAAGAAGAAGTCAAATTATCTCTCTTTGCTGATAATATGATTCTATACCTAAAAACAACCCTAAGACTCTGCAAAAAAATTCTAGAACTGATAAATGACTTCAGTAAAGTTTCAAGATATAGAATCAATGTACACAAATTAGTAGCATTTCCATACACCAATAATGTTTCAAATCAAGAATGCAATCCCATTTATAATAGTCAAAAAATAAAAGATCTAGGAATACATCTAACAAAGGAGGTGAAAGATCTCTACAAAGAGAACTACAAAAGACTGCTAAAATAAATCATAGATGACACAAACAAATGGACAAACATTCCATGTTCATGAATTGGAGGAGGCAATATTGTCAAAATGTCCATTGTCCTAAAGCAATTTACAGATTCAATGCTATCCTATCAAACTACCAATGTCATTTTTCACAGAATTAGAAACAACTAATATGAAATTTATAGAAAATGAAACAGAGCCTAAAAAAAAAAAGCAATACAAAAATAAACAAAGCTGGAGGCATCACATTACCCAACTTCAAACTATACTATAAGGCCATAGTAACCAAAACAGCATGGTAGTGGTCAAAAAAACAGACACATAGACCAATGGAATGCAATAGAAAACCCAGAAATAAAGCTGCACATCTACAGCCATCTGATCAACAAAACTGACAAAAATAAGCAATGTATAAAGGACTTCCTATTCAATAAATGGTGCTGAGACAACTGGCTAGCCATATGCAGAAGTATTGAACTGGACCCCTATCTTTCATCATCTACAAAAATTAAATCAAGATGGATTTAAGATTGGAATGTAAGACCTCAAACAGTAACAAACCTAGAGAAAAACCTAGGAAATATCATCTGGATAACAGATGCTGCTGAGGCTGTGGAGAAAAGGGAATGCTTATATGCTGTTGGGGAAAATATAAATCAGTTCAGCCACCATGGAATGTAGTTTGGAGGTTTCTCAAACAAAACAGAATTATCATTCAACCCAACAATTCCATTACTGGGTATACACCTGAAGAAAACTAAATTGTTCTACTAAAATACACATGTACTTGTATGTTCACTGCAGCAGTATTCACATTGGAGAAGACAAGGAATCAACCTAGATGGCCATCAACAGTGGGTTGGATAAGTAAAATGTAGTGCATATACAATATGGAATACTATGCAGCCATAAAAAAGAAAAAAAGCATGTCCTTTGCAGCAACATAGATGCAGTTGGAGGTCATTATCCTAAGTGAATTAACATAGGAACAGAAAACCAAATACCACATGTTCTTACTTATAAATAGAGGGTAAGCATTGTGTACACATGGCCATAAAGATGAGAACAGTAGACATAGGGGACTAGCAGAGTGAGATAAAGGGAGGAAGGCAAGGGCTGGAAAACTACTTATTGTATACTATGCTCATGACCCGGGTGATGGGAATCATTCATATCCCAAACTTCAGCATCACACATTATACCCATGTAACAAACCCACACGCCTACCCCCGGAATCGAAAATAAAAGCTGAAATTACTTTTTAAAAAGGTAGAAAAATGAAAATAAAAATCCATCATGCTTTTGCCAATTGCTGCCTGGAAACAGCAAGTTTACCTTCAGCGGTTCCACAGTGTGATTAAAAACTATATGATAATATTAAAACATCTTTTAACAAAGCTTTTTTAATTCCAAAGAATATATGTTATGAATCATGCTCATGACATTAACTAATCACTTAGGTCTTGACATAATGTCACAGGAAAAGAAATGTTTTGTCAATGATGGGGGAAAATTACATGTATATTATGTATATATGTATGCGTATGTTGCATGTATATATTTATATATATACACATACACATGTATATGAAAGATGTTTTTCTTGTTGTGATGATACATATGATTAATAGTTTTTTTGTTTGTAAATCTATCTATCACGCAGTGTAATGAGTATTTCCCATTCTAATATAGCCTCAGCTTGAAATAGAAAATAACCATTGGTAATAAATTACAGATACTCTTTTTATAGCAGTGAAACTGAACTGCAAGTTTCAATTCCTGAAATTGTGTTGCTCCAATTTTATGCCCATAGTTTTCTAAGGTTAAAAAAGACCTTTTGGTGTCTCTACTTCACAGACAGATTTAGATTTGATGGAACACAGTACCCATATATGTAATCCCATGATCTCCTCAATTTTCTCTAATTTTTTTCTTTGCCTTACTCTAAATATTGTAGAAGTATTAATTTCAAGGTATTATTCTATCCTAATAGACAATAGAAGAGAAAGCTACTTACAGCCAATCAACATGACACAAATTGAAAAGATTTTCTCCGAATTCGTGTTAGGAGATACATTCCCGAATCCTACACTGGTTAAACTGCTGAAAGTAAAATAAAGTGCTGTGACGTATTTGTCTTTAATGGATGGTCCAGAACTTGAGTCACTGTCATTGTAACGTTTCCCAATTTGTTGTCCTAAGGAATCCAACCATCCGATTTTGTCAGTCAGATAAGGCCTTTCTACATTCCCAATCGCATACCAAATGCAAGCCAGCCAGTGAGCAATCAGGGCAAATATGCACATTAAGAGCATTAGAACAGCAGCGCCATATTCTGAATATCGATCCAGTTTCCTGGCCACGCGCACAAGACGGAGGAGCCGAGCAGTCTTCAAAAGACCAATTAATGTTGTTGTCTGTAGAAATAAATAAGCACAGTCAGAAACGGTTGGTAAACAATTCAAACTACATTCATGTGAAGCGAAGTGGACAAAAACAGCTTAAGACAATATGGTAGTATTAAGGATAACTGCCTATTTAAATTAAGTATTAAACTAATTTTTTTAAATGTGATACTTGCTTTGGAAAATACTTTGAAAGTGCATGACACATTAATTCAGTATCATGACATGCAAAACCCATGGGGCAGAGAATCTGTCTTGTTTTATGTTCTAAGCACTTTGCGTAACTCCTTAGTGACTCATTCTTTCACCAACATACATTCTAGTATGTTACTGTATGCCTACTAAGGCCACACACTGGGTTTACAGTGTTGAACAAACAGACATGGTTACTTTCCTAATAGAGACAGTTATTTAAAAGACAAAGGGTTTAATCTAACGAAGAGACAAGATCACAGTCTACTGAGGAGAGAGAGATTTTTAAAAAATAAACAATTTCAGAGACAGAAAAGTACTATGATTATAGTAAGCAGATAAATATGATAGAGGGTATTTGGAGGCATGGATTGGGGCAGAGTCTGCTTTAAAAAGGAAGGCCAAGAAGGGCCTTGTAGAGGAGCTGGCATCTGAGTTGAGAATGATCTGGATAATGAGAAGGAGCAATTCAAGCCCCTTCTTCCCATAACCGTGGGAACACTTATCAGATGACTGCATGCATGAATGAGGCATTATATTTAAATGCATTTTTTCTTCTTAAATGTGCTAAACTGAGAAATTATTTCTTGATGTTCCAGTGATATTATAATTGCATTTTGCTTTTGGCTATGATATATGTAACTAATTGGGTGATTATTACTGACCAGGTATCTAATGATAGGATACTTCTATAATAACAGGACACTTAACTGGTTGTTTGGTCTTCAAATCTGATAAGTACAAATTACAAGTTCATTTCTTAGGTTTCCTAAATAATGTCAACTCTAAGTACTATATAATTCACAGGGCATATAATTATTGCATAGTTACATGGTGTTTACCAATCAACTATTGAGTCATTTTATCTGTTCATTGTTGCTGCTTATTTCCCAAAGCACATCTAATTATGTTAAGAACACTTACATCCTAATTGAAGAAACAGCACATGGAATAACTACCACACCCTATGTATTAATATTGATGATGACAAAGGAGCACTAAATATTAAAAAAAATTTTCATTAAAATGTTCTGGCTGGGTATGGTGGCCTGTGCCTATAATCCCAGCACTTTGGCAGGCTGAAGCAGGAGGATTGCTTGAGCCCAGGCATTTGAGACTGGGCAATATAGTGAGACTCTGCCTCTACAAAAAATAAAATAAAATAAGTTAGCTGGATATGGTGGTGGATGCCTATAGTCCCAGCTACTCTGGAGGCTGAGATGGAGTATCACTTGAGCCTAGGGATTTGAGATTGCAGTGAGCTATGATTGCACTCTAGCCTGGGCAACAGAGCAAGATCCTCTCTTTAAAAAAAATGTTCTATTAAGTGTTCTATAGTTTCTTGTTTTCCCCTTGTGCCTTAGTGATCACAAAGGAAAGGGGACTTAGTCTCCCCTGAATTATCCTCTATTAGTATTGTAACAGAGCCTGAATAGTCAAAGCAATCCTAAGAAAAACAAATGAAGCTGGAGGCATCACATTACCCGACTTGAAACTATACTATAGGATTGGACCTTTTAAAGGTGAGAGGAGTTTGTGCAGTTGTCATGTATTTATCATAACTGGATAAATTGGAAGTTAGTATTGGAACCCTCTAAAGGTGAGAGGAGCTTGTGTAGTTGACACTTATTTATCATAACTGGACTCTGGTCTCTTATTTGGGGATGTTTTGAGAAGTGAATTTTATCTTTCTCCAATACTGAGTTATTTTTTAGAGTGCAATGAAGGTGATAGTGTTTTTTTTTTTTTCCTTCTTTATAGGTTTAAAAGTATATTTCTTCCCTATGAATGAATGGAGGGTTTAAATTACTATTGGCTGGATCCCTAAGAGAAAATCAAACTTTTCAATATATGTATTATCAATATTTTAGCTTAGCAGTTACGTGCTAGGACTTTGGAATCAACTTATGTTTGAATTCTGCCTCCATACCAGTGTGTCACCTTGGACAAGTTATTAATTTAATCTCATACTTCAGTTTCTTCATCTGTGAACAAATAATAATGCCAACCTTACAGAGTTATAGATAATACCAATAAACAGAAATTCTTTGTATTTCTATCTTAACATCCTTTACATTTTTCTTTCCATCAATAAGCAGGAACTTTGTGATGTGAAATGAGTTGATAGGACTTCTATCCTTTTAAAATGTAATACTTTGATATCTGGAACCACAAGTGGGGGCCTTTCCATTCTGGCCTTGCAGCTCCTTTTAGGAAATGGTAAGAACATTGAAAGGCAGACTTCATGTGGGCACACTGACTGCTCAGACTCTAACAGGAGTCACCGTGGTTCAACATTTCACCACTTTTACACAGCACGGCTTCCTGAGAAATCAGAAATAACTGTGAATTATTGTTAAAATTTTATTGTTTTTGGAGTAAAATTTCTCTGCGACTCTCAAAATAAATGAAGCATAATAAAACTTCTTTAGGTAGTTGGTTAAATGAAGTGAACAGTTTTAAAACAAATGAGCTGTTTTTATAACATGTTACGATAATAAGTACTAAAGACTCTGCTGGTTGTAAAGATGGTAGAGTGAAAATGGTGCTCTGATAAGAAAAGCAATGAAATTTGCTGTGCATGCAAACTTCCTTTTTGCCTTCCTTCCAAAGAAATCTCTGACATTGCTTCTAGCATTCTATCAAAATGAAGTTAAAATCTATGTAAGTCCTCTAAGCAGATAAATCAATATAACTTACATAATAACATACAAGTGACATCTTTTCTGGAAAAAGAAAGTTTAAGAAATATGTGACATGTTGAAGTCTCAACATGTATGACAGTATTCATACTAAATAATTGCAGAAGTAATGAGAGAGCCACAAAGGAAAGGGAAGAGGAAAAAATTACTAAGTAGTAATAATATCTTTCAGTTGCATTATAAGGATGTGAATATTGACTTCAACAGTCAAAGCTGTTCTCTTGTGATTCTGTCACATGTACCCCAGCATAACTACATATGCTGGCTTGATAACGTAACAAATGCCTTGACCTTACTTCTATTGTTATAAAATTGTGGCTAACTCAACTGGGCATTCTTTGTTAGCTACAGCTGTGTATAAAACATCTTGTAGATGATGCACAGGATTGCAATAACTCTTTTCTGCTTATTATTTTAATATTGCTCTAAAAACTTAAGGTGTCTTGCCCCAGATTGCAGAATAGAGAGAAGTGATTGCACTAAAATCTAAGAGACAGTAGACTTGAAATAATTATCAATCTTCTCCAGACAATTTGTTATGAACTCTTAACCCCTTGTTTAGTTTAATAGGCCATCTTTATGTTACTTACAAGTGAGAAAGAGCATCATCAACTACCTTGTTATATTGTGCTAAGATCAGAATTTGCTGGGTATAATTGTTTTCAGAATGCATAATTATGTCCCAGTGCATCTAATTTTGTGTAATATCCAGACATTATGGAAATCTCAATTTTTTGATTTTTGAAAATTAATAAATGTAACTATCCATAAACCTATTCACAACAATTTTAAAAACTAGAGATAAAGAACTGTCTCTTAGATGGTATTTCTTGAACTTTCCACTGGTAATAGAAAAATATTGTCTGCTTATCATTATTCTTGGAAGTGACTAAAAAGAGCATAAAAGCTCACTAGATGGTAAAATGTGGTTATTGTTATAAAATAGAAACACATAATGAAAATAAAATATAAAAAGAGGCGAGTCATTTTGCAGTACATTGAAGCAAGGTACTTGTTTTCTAGTCCTGCCACTAAGTGTAGCAAAGGGGACATAATGGACTCTTAACAACTCAAGTCTTCACCTGCCAGCTCCCATACCATCTCAGAATTCAACTCATTTATTATGATTGAATAATTGTCCAACCCTTTTTGCCAAAATGTCACAGTAAAGAAGATCTATGTAAGATTTTTATTTTAATGCATCTTGTCAATATTATTGTTTTTAATCTAAAATGACTCTTTTTTCCAAAAATTCAATTTTTCATTTTGTTGGGTGGCTGATTAATATCATTCGGTTTTAAAATTTTAAAAATATATCTGCATACACTGTTTACTAAAGCCCCAGATACCATCTTATACTGAGGTAGAAGTTAGTTTATTAAGTATATTAATTTTTAAACTAAATATTATATATATATATATATATATATATATCCTAAACAATTGAAGTTTTGTATGTGTATTAGATACTAGGTCCAGAATCAAGACCACCATGTGATTTTTTTTTTTTGTAGATACTTTACAATAAATTGGTCAAGATTCTCTCTTCATGCCTGTGGAATTTTTTTGAAGGCTTGAAATTAGAATAAGTAACTTCTTATCAGTATTAAATAACTTTCTACTCAAGAATAAATTGTCTACAGTTAAATGGAGAAAGACTCACTAATAAAAAAAATTTTGTTCAAAAATATTTAAAAATTTTTGAAAAATAATTATACCTTATTTTTTAGTAAACGTTTTTAAGAATCTTATATTTAAAATACATTATTTCAGTGATTTACTCTCTAACACCTTTGCCTATAAATAAGTGAAATAATTATTCTTCTATAAATAAAAATACATAAGTATGTGATCTTTGGTTTCATCTGCAGGGTTGATAGAATGATCACTGAAGCTTTCTACTTAATCTATCATTTGTCCTTTCAATAAATATTTGGGTTCAAATTGGGAAATGTTAACATTTAACAAGCAATAAATTTCATTACTCTACATTCACATTTTGCTTTAGATTTCATTTCAGCTAATTCTCTCTAAGTTCTGGTATTTTTATACATCATTCAATTATTAATTGTCTAATAAATCTCAATAATATTGGAAACCAGTTTCTAGTCCCTTGTT